TTCCGTTTTTTGAGGGTAAAATTCTTATTGAAAATAATTGCTTAATAGATTTGTTTTCGACCTCTAAAGAACTTAAATGGATTCTTCAGTCTACGTAGCTATAGGAATGGCAGATAAAGCAGGAAAAAAGATGATAGATTTTTCGTAAAAAGTAAGGCTAAAGGCTTGGAAAAATTCCGTTTTTGAAGGGTAAAATTTCATTGAAATATTGCTTAAATAGTTTGTTTTCGATCCTCTAAATGAACTTAAATGCTTCTTTCAGTTCTCGTACTTGTAGAAATGGCAGATAAAGCAGGAAATAAAATGACAGATTTTTGGTAAAAAAGTAAGGCTAAGGCTTTGGAAAATTGTCCGTTTTTTGAGCGGTAAAATTTCATTGAAAATATTTGCTTAAATAGTTTGTTTTTCGATCCTCTAATAGGAACTTAAATGCCTTCTGTCAGCTCTACGTAGCTATAGGAATGGCAGATAAAGCAGGAAATAAAATGCAGATTTTTGGTAAAAGAAAGTAAGGCTAATGGCTTGGAAAAATCCGTTTTTTTGACCGGGTAAAATTTCATTGAAAATATTGCTTAATAGTTTGTTTTCGATCTCTAAAGGAACTAAATGGCTTCTGTCAGCTCTAGTAGCTATAGGATGGCAGATAAGCAGGAAATAAAGGATGATAGTTTGTTTTAAAAAGTAAGGCTATAGGCTTGGAAAAATTCCGTTTTGAGCGGTAAATTTCATTGAAAATATGTGCTTAAATAGTTTGTTTTCGAATCTATTTAATAGGAACTAAATGCTCTGTCATGCTCTAGTAGCTATAGGAGTTGCAAGTAAAGAAGGAAAATAAGAAGACAAGATTTTGTAAAAAAGTAAGGCTAAGGCTTGGAAAATTCCGTTTTTTGTGAAGGGTAAAATTTCATTGAAAATATTGCTTAAATAGTTGTTTTCGACCTCTAAAGGGAAATTAAACGCTTCTGTCAGCTCTAGTAGCTATAGGAATGGCAGATAAAGCAGAAATAAAGATGAAAGATTTTTGTTTAAAAAATAAGGCTATAGGCCTGGAAAATTCCGTTTTTGAGCGGTAAAAATTTCATTGAAAATATTGCTTAATAGTTTGTTTTCGACTCTAAAGGAACTTAATGCTTCTGTCAGTCTATTAGCTATAGGAATGGCAGATAAAGCAGGAAATAAGAAATGCAGATTTTTTGGTAAAATGGTAAGGCTATTAGCCTTGGAAACATTTCCGTTTTGTTAGGAAGGGTAAATTTCATTGAAAATAGTTGCGTATGAAAATTAGTGTTTTCGTACGTCTAAAGAACTGTAATATGATTATCTTCAGTTCTCGTACTATAGGAATTGGGCCGAAGAATCAGTGCATGACTAACTCCAGGAAAAATAGACAGTGATAGATTTTTTGGCATAAAAATATAGTGAGAGCTGATAAAGGTGCTTGGGAAACAAGTCCGTTTTATCTGAAGGGTAAATTTTCACTTGAAGAATATTGCTTATAAGTGAGTCTTGTTTGTCTAGAACCTCTACTAGTTAGCAGAACTTAAGAGGCTTCTCAGTTCTCGGAACCGTGTGTAGAAGAGTGGCGAATAGTATAGCAAGCGTAATAAAACGACTGAATTAGATTTTGGTAACAAAGTAGTCAAGGACTTAGTATATGCTGTCTAGGAAAAATTCACGTTTTTGAAGTGTGTCAAAGATGTCGATTGACATGAGGAGATTAAGTAAGATAGGTTTGTGTCACCTCTAAAATGGTTAAAATCGCCTCGTTCTAGCCTAGTAGCTATTTAGGAATGCAGATAAATGTGCAGGCAATAAAGATGATAGATGTTTGTCTAATAAAGTTAACGGTCAAAATAGTCTGGAAATAAAGGTTTCCGATGTTTGAGCGGTAAAGGAATAATACGCGGCGGTTCAGTTGGAGAATAATTGACGGTTGTAAATAGGTCTATTGTTTCCCGGTGGCTAGCGTAAAGGATCACTAGTATAATGCCTTGTACAGCTTCTGATTCTAAGCTATTGCACATGGCAAGATAAACAATACAAATGACTAGAGTTTTTTGGTAAAATGGGGAAGCGCGTAATTGAAGAGTCGATTGGAAGAAATTCACGTAGAGTTGTTTTAAGTGGTAAATTTCATGACAAATAGTTGCTTAAATTAGTTTGTTTTCGGACCTCTAAGGGGAGAGCTTTAAACGTGGATTAGTCTTCAGCTTCGCGTGACCTATAGGAGAAGGCAGAGCATAAGAGGAAACAGAGAATGATAGATTGGTGTGGTAAATGAAAGTAAGGCCTTAAAAGGCTTGGAGGTAAAAATTTCCGAATTTGAGAGGTATACGACATTGTCAGTGAAAATAAAGTTGCTTTAATATCAGTCGGTTTTCGGACCTTCTATAATGAAACTTTAAATATGCTTGTCTCTTCAGTTCCGTACCTGTAAGAAATGGGGCAGATGCAAGCAGGGATTAAATTAGATGAGATAAGATTTCTTTGGTAGATAAAAGAGTATAGGCAAAGGCTGGAAAATCCGTTTTTTGAAGGGTAATAAATTCACTTGAAAGAGGCTTATTGGCTTACAAATAGTTTGTGTTTCGACTCTAAAGGAACTTAAAGACTGCCATTCACTGTCATCGCTCTAGTAGCTACTAAAA